AGCAGCACATGCCTTTTGATGTTTAACTCTGCTAATTGCATCTTTATCAGTACCAGTTACAATGGCCGTTAAGCCTGTTGCAATTAACATTTGTATCCATTTTTAAACAGTTGTATTTCAATGGTTACAAACTTACAAAACATGAATTAGGATGCTATTAAGTCTATCGCAATTAACAATTGTATCCATTTTTTAATCTGCCTCTTTGCTACTGTGCTACTATTTTATAATGAAGATATCACTACAGATGCTGCCGATTTATTACCATTTGCTACTTTTGGTGGATGTTAACCCTGTTGTAGTTAACAATTGCTTTCCATGTACTTACACAGGGCTACAATGGGCGATGATGTTGTTTGCCGTCGAGGTTAGCAGCTTCCCATGTCTTATACACCATCTATTCCTAAATTTAAGTATTTCTAGAGATTCCAATATAAACTACATAAGGAGCAAAATGAGTGGATCTAGATTCTAATCTAAACTATATCTATAATTCTATAGACATTCGTATGTATTTCATATTGAAATCTCTAAAAATACTTATACTTAGGAACGTAGGTAGTTGTATTTTACATCATTTGTGCAATCTTAGTTTAGCTTCTAACATTTACTGGTTGCTTGTAGGTACATATATGAGCGGTACTGATCCACGCTTCGATCCCTTTTGCGTATGGGGCAATGAAATATTCATGAACAAGTGTCAAGTGAGGAAATTAAGAAAGATTGTTACACGAAAAAAAACGACTGATGGGAATTAAGCTCTTTATTTACACTTTGTCTAAGACAACAGTGAACTTTAGGATGGTAAGTAATGTGTTGCATTTTCCCCCTGCCCACAACAAGTTACTCTATTAGACCTCATGATCTGATATTTTTCTCTTTTCAGTGGTTTCTGAAGCTATTTACTGATGATTACCTTGCAAACTACATGACCGGAGTGGAGGAAACTAAGGTTAAAGTATATAATGCATGCTACCATGATAATGCTATAGAAGACTTCCTGAAGACGGTGAAGGATGGGCGGGCGATCGTCACAAGGGGTTGGACAAAAGTTGTTTGTGCCTATGGCATGCAGGAAGGCACATTATGGGCATTTCGCTTCTTCAACACCATCGATAGTCAAAATGATTTACACTTGTCTCTTCATCTTTACTGCCTGTAAATATTGTGGTTCATCATAGTTAATTGTTGTCTACAACATATTGTACTGTAATTACTGAACATATTGTACTGACAATTTTATTTATGGATTCGTTGTTGAATCATTGTGCTGAAAATTTGAATTGCATGTTTCATATTTCAATTTTCCAATTCAAATAAAAACTTACAGCCAAAAAATGTACAAGAGCGAATAAAATAATGTGCACACGGTTAGAAAGAAAACATCATGTGCGATGAAAAAGAAAATAGACGGTTGCTTGACGTGAAACGTTTGCGATGCCCGACGGACGCACACATGTTTTGTCTCATATGCGTGTGCAATTCACGGTAATTCGGCACACGTTTCAAACCAGTGTGCATGTGTGATAGGAATACCGATCGTATACAGTTATGAAAATGTACACGTTAGCATTAGTAGATGCACCGCACACATTTTACATTCTTGAACCGTGTGCAATAACGTATCTATCACAAACATATCGGCAGATTAAATGTTGATGTCCACCTTTTTCATATGACTATAACGGCGTAATTATTTGGGATGTCTCTCTTATCAGAAACATAACATCGAAATGTAACGTGTGGGACTGGGGCGACTTCTCATACGTTTATTCTATGGCAATCGTCAGTACCCGCTCGCCCATCCCTGACGGTTTCTGAGTCGTGTGAGAAGGACCCCCTATCGCCCACACTCACTTGGCGACGGATCCAAATGCCGTCACGAAATGAGGTTAAAAACCGTTTGTATAGCACCTTATGGTACCAGTGTATATTAGGCACCTAGGACACCGTAGAGCGGACTTCTCTTTCGCCTAGTTTTAGCTTAATCCTCTATACTCCCATATGTAGACAAAATGGAGCAATGTAGAAAGACTTTTATCTGCATTGGGGGGCTAAACCTAGGTACATTGTGTGCCCCCGTTTACTTGCGTTCATCTACTAGTATCTTGACGTGACATCCCCGCGACTAGAAATCCACGTAGTTGACTTACCAATGTTAGGACCCAATGGAAATCCCTCGGCAGTAAGTTAGAAAAGCATTTCTAAAAGTTTGGAAATGTTTTTCCAATATTTGAACATTCAAATGCATTCTTGCTACCAATAATTTTAAATTCATACTAACTGAATTCAAAAACTTATTTATTCAAGAAACACTCTAGAGTCATTTTCACTGTTTCGACAAATGTCACAATTTGTTTACTCGAATTCAAAATTTAAGCGCATTTCAGTCATTATGTATTCATGATCCAGTCAAGATTTCAAAATCATTTCGAGAGATATTTTCACTAGATTTCACAAATGCATGTTAATTCTGATTCCTTGTATTTTAGAAACAATTCAAAAAATCTGAAATTTTAGATTTCACACACATTTTGGCTCAACTCCAGAGGTCCATTGTAGAATGATTTTAGAGACAGTTTAGAGCATTCAATGTACATTTTAGATAAATTCAATTATGATTTAATTCATTTCCACTGCATTTCCATAATATGTTTGATAGAATTCAAGAATAACATATTTCATTCACATTTCATAATATTAGATACATTCAGCATAAAGTTCAATGCCATTTAATGCATGTACTAAACAGGATCCACATACATGCATCTCCACATACAACCCTCCTCACTATTGAAAACCCAACAAAGTTTATTTGTTTTTCATTCCTCATTTTTTCTTTAATCTTTCAAAGATACTACACGCTGTATTTCACATACAAAACAACATTACATTTGATTAATTATTGGTATATATTTTTCACAAAAATTCATTGGACTAATACAAATCTCAAGATACGTCTCACCAAAGGTTGAAGCAAGAATGACACACTCTGAAATTATCAATAAAATCAACAAATTTCGGTGATTTACAAATTTGGGTGATTTCAAATTTATCTGCTAGAAAATATAGATCAACTTGCTTAACTTTTGTCCACGTGAAGAAACAAAGACGATACAAAACACAATGCCACACACTAGTTCATGCTATAAAGTGCGGGAGAAATTGAATCCAAAGGGGAAACCCATTCTTCTTAGAGAACCACAAATCTATCTCCAACACCATCCTAACCAGAATATGTTGCTGCCATCGTCCGAAGGCTTTGAGACGCCTAATCTGAATGTTCTGACTGGGCCATCAAGGAGTGTCGCATCCTCCTAGGCCTAGCCAGCCCCGCCTCTTTGCGCTGCCATGGGGGATCACCACATCATCCTAGGCCCAACCCCTCCCACCTCCTCATGTTATCGTCGAGGAGTGTTGCATCATCTTATGCCCAACCCCTCCCGCTTCCTCACTCCGCCTCCTCACCTTACTGCATGCTACCGCGCCCCAAATCGTGGAAAGCAGCACAATGGGGAGTCGTAGAGGAGCGAACCATCGCTTTCATTGTGTCTTCCGGCGCCACTACCAAACATCAAGTTTAGTTTGTCATATCATTACACGTCAATCTCACACATGAATTTCCACGAAGCAACCTAGGGTGTATTTGTGTTGCATGCACATTATATTTTTTTCTCAAAATAGCTAGTACTTATATCCAACCTTCCATTTGAGACAGTATAGGGCCCCCTCCGCCCAAATAGGTCAAAGCCAACATTGCATTAACCAATTTAGCACAACACACTTCCTTAAAATTTCACCTATGAGTCAATAGGTCAACATTACACAATGTCTTCTTCACGTGATGGTGTCAATGTCCAAGGAGGCTTCTGAGTGTGACCAAGGGATAAAGTATAAGGGGTAGTGCCCGTGGCTATCGGATGTCTCTCTGCATCACTTGGTATCAATCTCAGGATTCCACCCAATGTCATGGGTATGAAAAATCCTAAATGAGGAAGGGGAAGGGGCGGTATTTTAGGCGTGGAGTTATGAGTAGCGCAAAATGACAACTATATTTGTTATTTACGAATTGATATAGTCGTTGCTGCCAAAATCCCCAACAATATGAACAAATAGCGAGCACAGGGGGACGACAAATAAATTTCAGTTGACCAAGAGGAGAGGAGAGAGTGGTGGATTTTTGCACCCGGACTACCAAGTTTACACAATATGCCTCTGTGCATTTTGCAACACTTGAGCTCATCTCTGGAGACGTTGAGGGAGTTACTATTGAACCTAGCCCACAGGTGTTATTTATGGTCTTAGACCAAATGACTCGTGTAGGCACACAAACATGCCCTCGCTCGAGATGGCCCACCACACCAAGGGATACATGAACACCCACCGTCTGCACAACTCATCTTATCACATTAGCATCGGACAAATAGCTCCTCCCTGGCACCACGAAACAAGATAGATATCCTAGACCCTCACACAAAGTCTCCTTTCCAAGGGGGGAAGGGTCCAAAATCTAGTTGTTAGTTAGGGAGCCTTGCTAGAGACTCAATGTCCAAACACCCACACGGCTTATTACCTTTACAGCGAAAATAAATATCTACAAGACAAAACAGCCGACTCACCTAATGCCTAGCACTGCACCCCCTAGAGCTATATATACCCACAGTCGGGTACACGCAGATCACATCTCTACATACATCGCAACAATGCATGATTTGTAGAACATATCATCCCCATCCTCAGCATTCATTCATAGCCTCGGCCTAGCTATCTTAGAGATCTTAGTCTAAACCATCCCATCCTCAACATTATTTCACAACCATGGCCTAGCTACATATAATCTCGAGAGTTTTTAGTCCAAATCATCCCCCATATCCTGAAAAAGAATTCACAACCATGGCCTAGCTACTATAATGTCCATGAGTTTCTAGTTTTTAGTTAGTATATTGTTAATTTTTTGGAGAGTTTGCTGTGTTTGATCAAGGAGATCAAGGAGGACGGCCATGGAACTGGACATGTATAACATGGTGGTGCAGGCGGACGGCAGCGTCACATACCAGCTGACCGACCCAACAACGTGGGGCGCGTGGGCACACGATGGGCATCGGCTGTGGGCGTCCATGTCGGAGGATTTCTGGCTGTACGAGTACAAGGTGCGACGGTGCCCGCAGCCGTACAGTCATGACTGGACGGCGTGCCCCTATGCGCACAAGGGCGAGCGTGCTCGCCGCCGTGACCCGCGCCGCTTCAACTACGTCGCCGTCTCCTGCCCGGAGTATCGCGCCAATGCGCACGCGCACGCGCAGCTCGGGCTCGCCGCCGCCGGTCACCCGCCGCCGACCTGCGCGCGCGGGCTCAGGTGCCGCTACGCGCACGGCGTCTTCGAGTTGTGGCTGCACCCGTCCCGGTTCCGCACGCGCAAGTGCGAGGCAGGCACGCGCTGCCAACGTCGGATCTGCTTCTTCGCGCACTTCACCCACGAGCTCAGGGGCGAGGACCCGGTCGCCGCCTTCCCTGCCACCGCAGTGCCGCCTTCGACCTTCGCCATGCTGCGGACGCCGCCCCGCATCTTCCAACGCACTCCATCCACTCCTGTGACGCGTCCGCAGGTTGTTTCAACTCCACAGCTGTTCGATGACCTCACCCTACAGGCCACTCCAAACAGGCTTCGCATGCTGAGCCTATACTCTGCCATCACCGGGGACGATGTTTTCTCCTCCCCCGTCGCCACCGCCTCCGCCGTCGCCACTGCTGCCACCACCATGCCGACCCTCAGGGCGCCCTTACCGGCAAACGAGGACGGGCATGAGGAGGACACTAAATCCGTGCACTACGCGGATGACGAAGACTCCCTGCTGAACGACTACCCGCACCGAGATCTCATCATGGACTTTATGCGCTAGGTATCCGAGGTATGACAATGAATTGATCTCTAGCCGGCCGGCCAGGTCGATCCTGGAGCGTGTCACTGCACGTGTGACGACTGCGGCAGTGCATGCATGCGTGCCTGCTGTGTTTGCGTGTGCATGGTTCTTATTACATACTGTATTTATAGGTTGCATGTCGTGCAGGGCGCCAAGTGCGGTGGTCGGTCCTCAAGAACATGCCTATATGTGTATAGCATTCCTGGTCATAAATAAGTGTCGTCTCTATGGGAGATATATAGTATCTAATGGAGATGTACAATGTCATTGCCAATTATTGTATTGTTATGTTGTTGTTTTATCTGTCGGGCAAATGTGTAATGTTTCCTTAAGCACCTATACATAAATGGTTTGTCGAACTCAATGCCTCTTTTGGTTCTTTTTATTTTGTTTGATAAGCGAGGTGTATTTTTATCCGCAGCAAGAATAGTACGATGTTCAAAACGTGATTCATACGTCCGCTTTGTTCGGTAGTGCTATGAGATAAGGAGCTTGTATATGTTTATATATTTCTACTAGTGGCTGGGCACGCCCAGGGCGCGCCTCCTATGCGTTCCTGTGCGTACCAGTCTAGCTGATGTAGCTGTGAATGTGCATATGCGGTCCAGAGGAGCACAATTATTAAACTACGAACACAGTTAGGACGACGATGCTAATGGACATACCATCCATCACCAGCCATGTTACAGTACATTATGAGTTTTGATTGTATGTATGGCCACATAGCTTACAACAACACTTGAAATACAAGATAGAACATAAGAACACCAAAATAACTCGGTAGAAAAATATGCCTGGAGCAAAAACAACATAAATACTCTACAGATTTCAAAGAATGATTTGGTGAAGTTCCTATATTTCAAACGGGGTCTAGTTAAAAAGTAAAATTAGGACTATCACATAGGATGGCCACTCATACGAAGAACCAAGAAAATACTGACTTTTAATATAAATGAATTGTGGCCCTGATATGATTGCCCAGAATGCTCTTATCAATGATGAGGTTCTTTCGGCACACAAGATTCTACACAAGTCCATTAAATGGTAAGTACTTTATACAAGAATGTAGTTTCAAATGGTACATGACAAGAAGATGAAAAAAATTAAGACGCTCAAATATCAAAGATCGTATCTCCCCAAGTTCCATGAACGAATAAGCCCCTTTTCTATATGCAATTGCCACATGCCATATCATTAAATAAAATGGTTACGAAGATTAGCTGAGCAAAGTTTTGTCCACAAGGAAAGTACCATGACTGGAGCTGTGGTCATGACGTCAACGTGATAAATCATGGAAAGGCATCCCTCTAAAAAAAGTCCAACTTTGCTCAAAATAGGTGGTCCATCAATCTTACAGTGCAAATCATGTCATGGTAGTCTTGCAATTGTCCTTTGACACCTGCTTGCACCAAGAGAATACATATAATGACATAAAGATTAAAACTCAATGAGCTGAATTAATGTGGTGCAAGATAAGTACTGGCAGTACCGAGTATAGCATACAACAAAGAACATCACAATCGATTGCTTCTTCAACGCCATCTTGGAATTGTCAGAGAGATCTCCTTGCCAGATCATCACAAGTCAGCTATGAGTCAGTGGTCAAGAATGTTTCTACCCAAACAAACCAAACGCAGTAGCCTACCAAGTTCATCTCACCTTACCTCCCTCCCTCCCTCCATCCATCCATCCACCACAAAGGAACTGAGATACTGCCTACTGGATGCTGCTGCTGCTGCTTCATAGTATTTCTGATGTGTGGCTTCTTTGATAATGATCCAAAAATGGAAGATGCATTTATTTTCAAAGAAAGACTAGCATTCGAGTTTCATAGGAAAAGAGAACAGCTTCCATGCAAGAAAATTAGCATATGGTGGCTATGGATGCAGGCATTAAAAAGGCATAAATCTATACAGAATCGCAGAAGTATAAAACTCGCAGAGACTGAACTAAGAAAACAGCTTTGCTGAAAGAACATGAATACGTCATGAAATAAAGGTCAGATCTGACATATCTCAGTTTAAACTGACGGTCGTCCGCGTCGTTGTGGCGCCTTTTAAGGCGGGATTGTGCGTAGTAATCAAGCTGACGTATTTGTTAACATGTTAGGCTTAGTTTAGCAAGAAGACAAACGCATATGCATGACAGTTGCATGTTGGTGGTCAAAAATATAAGGCACGACATAACTGCATTAGGAAGAGTGTCCGTTCATAAAAGCAGAGCCAGCCTAGTAGTTCTATTGATACTAATAGGTTTGCATTAACATAGAAGGGCCAGTCTTACAAGGTGGATCAATAGAATTCTGATAAAGGCAATCTTACAAGGTGGGTCTTTTTTTATCAGATCAACTGAGAAGAAAGAATATTAATCTATCAGGCATGAACAAATTTTCATAAAGGCAGTCAATTTGAAGCAAGATAGGTGTAGATTCTGATAAAAATGGTAATTTCAGGGTGGATTAATAGGATTTGAAGCAAACCGGCGAAATATTTCGACAATCTATCAGAAGGATAGAAGTTGTGGTGTAGGAAAGGCAGTTATCTAGCATGATCAATTTCAGCTGGCAGAACAGATATATGAAACAAGTATTCTAGATGATAACTAACAAAGAATAAAAGGGTTAATTTCATGGGAACATAATAATTGCTGTCACAAGTATTATCCGCCACATTTTATCCATCAGGCTAACCAAAAGAGTAGTTTGACATGGGCAAAATAATGGAAGTATGTGACTTTAGGAACTTAGAGAGTGATCCTAAAGTGAAGACATTGTAGCATGTACTCCATCCAAACATCAAGTGACATGTATCTTCAGATAAAATGGCTACCTCATGGGCCACCAATATAATCCATGAAGTGGCTCAATTCAGCTGATACATCTGATGGAATTAGACATGAGGCTGACCAAGTATCTGAAAAACATGAACAAAAGCCAAATGAGTTCATAATGCTTGATAGATCACGATAAAGCTTGTTCCAGCATGCATTGAATAATCATCTTGGAGGCAACTTTAAGATAATTAAACAACTTTTCTTGCCAAGTTTAAATAAAATGAAGGGTTCTACTAAACTTCTAGTAGCAAATATCACATGATCACAGAGGGGCATAATTTGAGTCAACGGAAAAAATAAGTATTTGTTGCAAACACAAACAATTCCAGGTTCACTTGTTGGAATTATACCTAAACAAAATCCAATAATCATCACTAAAAATAAAGTAGCACAAAAGCTCACTGCAGATGTGCAGCAAGGCAGCACTCTTGACCCAATCATTGCCAGTGTAGCATGTTGCTCTATGCCTTTCCCTTTTTGATCTCCTTTGCACTTGTTCTGAAACTTGTTCAGTTAACTCTTTCTTCAGTCAGGTTCTCTTCGTCCTCATTATTCGTGGCAGCACCAAGTACAGCCGGTTCCATAATGGAAAATAGAGCTAAAGGCATTTTATTAATGGAACATCATTTAGAGTGCCCATAAACTCTACCGATGCTTTAGTGGTTCTACTATATGTTAGTCTTCAATCTGGCATCTCTTCAAATAAATCAAGCCTTGATCCCATTAAAACTCAAGATTCAAGAGTGACACTTCCAAGTAAAGTAGTGACAGTAGTAAATATTAAGTCCTGCATTTTCAGGCAACTTTACCAATAAGTTGAGCAAGCTTCAGAAGCGAAAATCACAATATCATCCCGGTGTCTACTACATGTCTATCTTTTGGACAGCATCAACCTGAACATCCTCTAGTATATCAAACCTTGTTCCCAACCAAATCCGATAATGAGTGACACTTTCATGCAAATTCTACAGGGAGTATTTTCATGTATTTCTACTAGCGTCAGTAAAGTATTGACAGTCAGTTGGTACTAAGTGGACTATTTTTAGGCATTCCTATCAGTAAATACAGCAAGCAGCAAAAATGAAAAACAAAATGTATAGCACCAATTAAATCCACATATCTCCAATAGAATCGTCAAATCAAACCATACATAGTTCGTGCCCCTAATTCCACAGGTATTTGGGTACCTTGCATTGAAGCACTCACCCAGCACACACTTTCGCTCCGCTTCCTCGCGCATGACCTCCGCGATGAGGGCACGCAGCTCCTTGCGCTTCCTCCGCCTGACCCCGCGCAGCCGCTCTGCCTCCTCGGTGGCGAGGTCGCGCTCCCTGGCCCTTCCTCCCCCTCCTCTGCCACCACCATCGCAGCCGGGTGGAGGGCACGCCTTGCCTCGAAGAAGAGACCTTGCCTTCTTCAATGGCCAGTGTTGGAAGAGCCGGGATGAGGCGGCGGCGGCGGCGGCGATAACGGCGAAAACCCTAGCCGCCAGTTTAGGGGGAAAGAAAGCGAGATAGGAGGAGCGGCGATTTTGTCGGCGGCGGCGACAGGAACCCTAACTGGGAGGAGAGAAAGAAAGAGGGACGCTGGGTGCATTACAACACGACACCAGTGCGGATGCCCCTGCGTGTCCCTTTTCTCCACCAAGCACTGCTTGCCACGTGGCTATCGCGAGGGCTCGCTGCTTGCGCCATCGTTAATGGGTTGTATATGCAAAAGGCCGACATGGCATAGTAACCACAATAAATAAAGACGAAAAAGGTTAGATTTGTCTGTTTGTAGAAATACAGCTCAGAGCTTATTTTCTATGCAATGAAATAAATTATCCGATCCGGTCTGATTAATCATCGAAAATAAATAAGAAACCTTGGTTTCATGTTACTGCAAGCCAAAACCATTAAATATTATTTCAAACGCGGAAACGCCTAGGACTAGATTTCCATATGAATAATCGAGGCCAAACAAAATCTCTTTCATGCCATACCCAGGGCGTTAGATGAAAATTCGTAATATTAGTTACCTATAGAAACCATGTCTCTCTAGTTGCTAAATCTAGCATGACTGAATTTCTTTGAAATTTCAGGTCATCCCAACAAGCAACATGCTCAATCTGTCTCTATCTGTCAACTGTAACCAAAGTTCACAGC